TGTCGGAAGTGGATGCATATTGAAGGAGTTGGAATAATAATCAATGGTAGATGTAAAAATAAGTGCCGACGCAGCAACCAAGCCCACAAACAGTCCGTAAATCAATAATTAGAAGTATAATTGAATAGTTACCTCACGTGTGTTGGAAGAGGTATGAATGAGAATGAAGCGCGAAAGCTGCGTGATTAACAACGTCAACATGAACATCCGAAGATGGGGAGAGTAATTTAGTATCGAATGTCGGTGTAGAAAGCATCTTGCTTTCGCTAATTAAGGCTATGCTGAGTGACGCCAGAAAAAATCTCATGAAGATAGATTGTTGCGACTTAGAGGAAAATAGGTTCAGATACCATGAATATAATCAGGAGATGAAAGTTCCAACAAAGCAACACCGATACGATACAGTGGTGAATCCAGAATGAACTAGACGGTATTCGAGTTTCGCTCGACTACGAAATGCCCCGCAAAGCACGAATTTGTCGAGGCATCGAAAAAAATCGAGATTTCAAGAAAATTGAGAGTTCTTTCGCACAATATATACTTTTCTTCTTTCTCAAAGCACCACATGAATGCTCTGCTTCACAGGATATATAAATTTCATAAATAAAAAATCTTGTTAATTTCTTTAAATCCAAATTTTTACTTTGTGTTAATTTAATTTTTTTATTATTTATCAAGCAGTTTTTATCTAAAATATATTAAATAAATTAAAAACAGGTATTTCACATATTTTTGTATCGATTATGGCTTTAAAAATTTTTAATTCAACGTCGATGCATTTGAAATACAGCGTTTTTTACATTTAAATCCATGTGATAAATAAAAGTACAGATAATAGTCTTAACGGTAGAACTTGATATAAACATTCTTTGTATGACTTGTTTATTTCTTCAACATTAAATTCTTTTGTGTTTTCGTTATATACCGTGCTATTGCTTCACTGAATGATTTAAATATTATGTGCTTTAAAATAAATTTTGCTTTTAAAGATATTCTTGTTTCAGACTCAATTTACAATTATTATGATATTAGAAAACAATAGTATTAAAGTGACGCAAAACATAATACGTACTACTTTTATTTATCATTCCTTTTTTAAAAATATATACTAATTATTTGTAGTTCTATTAGTCTACTTATTATTAGAAATATATTTCTATTAAAATTATTTGATGATAATTAGTCTTCTTCTCTTCAGTGGTATATTCGAAAAAGCGAGATTACGATTGGTTGAAAAAAATTGTTTAAAAATTCTCACTAAAATAATAATATCCATTCAGCTCGAGCTTTTTTTTATTAATGTAGCTCAATGTATATCTAAATAAAAATTATTTTTATATTTATAATATTTCTTATAAAACTCAAGTGATGAAGACTAATTCTAGAAATATAAGTTTATAAAAATTTATTATTTTATTTATTCAATGAGTGATAAATATGATGTTCTACTGACAGATAAATGATTTTTAAAGCATTGAAAATTGGAAGTTTATTATTATGTTGAATTTATAAGTTATATTTAAATATCCTGCTAATTGAATTATCGAAAATCTATCTAGATTTACGTTACTTATCATTTTATGACAAGTTTTTTGAATATTTTTCGTGATTTAATTTTTATTTTACTGGAATACTTTATTGAATGAATGTACATACATAAATGAATTAATGCAGTTCACATGGAACATAGTTTTAATGGAAAGAAACTGAAAATTTATTCTTGAATATAATTCAACGATAAAAATTACATTTATTTCATAATCGAGTTTTAGATAGTTTGAATGTATTTGATCTATTAAAAATAAAAAATAAAAAATTCGAATGTTAATATGTTTTTAAGATGAAAACTGTTTATCAAAATTTAATTTTAATTATATTTGAATTATTTTCAGAGATTTATTTTGATTTATTTATTTCAAGCGAAATTTTCCTTCTACAATATAAATTATCTATGTATAAATTAAAGTTACATTAGTTAAAAATGAAATACCTTTATAAGGAATGTTCAATATTGGTAATAAATAATAGAGATAAAATGCGCTTTTATTTCATCTGCATGCAATATTTAATTTTGACGGTCGTCTAATGACGAAATTAATATTTAGTTGATGATCGGTTTTTTGTAGCATTTAAAATTATTTAATCATTTACAGAATTAAATAATGTAAATGTAATTTTTTCTCTATGAAAAACTTTTATCAAATCTTTATTAATCGTTTTACATTCATTTTTAGAAGTGTATTTTGATTTATCTATTTAAAAAAGTATATTTGTTCGATGAATCACATCGTATATATATATATATATACAGGGTGGGCCAAAAGTAAGTAAACAAAAAGGGTATGCTGTATTAACGGATAATAGATTGTTAATGACATTTTTTATACTTTTTATTGATATGGAAAGCTGAAACTTTAAGAAATAAAAGATCTTAACTAGATATATATGTGATAAAAATTTTAGTTCTCTTCATCAATAAAAGATATGAAAAATATCATTAACGATCTATTATCCGTTATTACAGCATACCCTTTTTGTTTACTTACTTTTGGCCCACCCTGTATATATATGATGTTAATTATATACGAAACAAGTTTGCAATTAATGTTCCAAATCATTATAAAGTAATACAAGTTAACTGCTTGTTATATTGATTCTATAAGTATTGTTATTTTGGAGCAACAAGTTGGGCATCTATTAAGAAATGAATTACATTTTTCTTATATTATTTAACATTGTACGTGCGAATGAGATTAAATTACTTTTTTAATCAAAACATTGGTAATTTAATATACCATAAATTTAAAAACATGTATGACATGAATATGGGTGATTTGCGCTACCATTGTACCGTTTAATTAAATAAATCGAAAAAACTAGGGGTGGGGTGTGGGTGTGGGTGTGGGTGTGGATGTGGGTGTGGTGAGTGTTGATATGCGCACAAGTCAACTCTAATAACAATCACACCCACATCCACACCCACACCCACACACCCATACCCACACCCACACCCACACCCACACACCCACACCCACACACCCACATCCACACCCACACCCTATACGCACACCCCACACCCTCAAGATTCCTCAATATTTGTAGAATGAATTACTTACTTATGGTCTTATAAATAGATAATCGAATAGTTATCCAATCAAAAGCCATCGGACGAGTCTCTTAGGTAAGAACAAAACCGGTCATGGTATTTGGTTTGATACACCCAGACCGTGGGTCGACAGATTCGGTTGGGCTTGTGATGATTCTGTATGTTGATTGACAGATTGTCTGACTCAAACTACAAGAGACATGTTATGATCAGGTTACAGCTAAAAAGTCAGATCCGACTCTGAGTTATTAAAGCACACGTTCACAAATATTAAATTAAAAAAATCATAATTCTCATTCGTGGGTGAGAAATCATCTTCTTGTTTTACTGTGATGACTGATATTGTTGAACAAAGACATTTCATCAACGGGTTTCGTAGACAAAGTATCAATTTGAGGAATATAATTTGATGATTGTCGAACTTCTGAGAGATAGTAGAATGTTGTCCCTTACACTATTATTTTTCATGTGTTTTCAATTAGTTGAAAACAATATTTACCTTGACAATACAGAAGATGGAACGTCAGTCGAGTTTTTTGATTGTTTTATTGTCGACACTCTCCAGTATTGTCGTCGACCAGACGAACCTTTCGATTTGATTCGGGATAATGACATAGACTTTTGTACAAACAATGGTGGACGGCTTCATTCATTTTCGACACTCGAATCGCTAAAGATCAACGTGAGTTCGATTTTACACGAATGGAAATCAAGTGTAGAAAGAGTCGAACAGTATTCTCGTTATCGAAAACTTTTGCGCAAAGATGATGATGGATATCTTTGTCAATGTGATCGGTCTGGATCATTTGGAAAGAATTGTGAATATCAGCTACCAGTTGGAATAACAATCGATCAAGCACTCGAATGGCAATTAAAAATGAAATCAGAAAACCCAAATGACGTGCAGAAGTATGGTGATATCGTTTGCTACAAGGGTGTAGAGTGTAATTCTGGACAACTATGTCTTGATTGGCGAGAGATTTGTGATGGAATTCAACATTGTATGTTTGGATATGATGAGAACAATTGTGATATTCTTGAATTGAATCGATGTGATGATGATGAATATCGATGTATGAATGGAATGTGTATTCCTGATGAATATTTTCTCGATGGCCAATATGATTGTTTAGATTGGAGCGACGAAATTCAATTCAACAACGATGAACACTGCTATCGTAAGATGGCTAATGCTCAATGTGATGATCATATTTGTCCTCCAAATAAGTGGTCCTGTGGCGATGGGCAATGTATTGCAAACCGATTAGAATTTCAGACCCGCATCGTAGTTTCGGAATGTTACAGTCGACGTGAACAATATTTTATGTGTGAAACTAATGCCCTCATTTTGCAATGGACAATGCCTAATGGACGATGTCTTGCTAATAGATACAAAGAATCCTTGCTGAAGAATCGTACTGAATACGAACAGTGTGTGTATCTGCTGAAATGTACTCTGACGCTAGGTATGGAAATGGGATGTCCCTGCTGGAGGAATTCTGGTTGTGCCAAGGCCCTCGATCAGAATTGTTCTTTGGATATCATTCAATATCCTTCAAATGGAATTATAGGCCCTTTTGGATTCTTTCACTTCAATCATAATCAGGACTGGTCGAATCGCGTACCACGCGATATAGTGATTAATGGAACAATCAATTGTCGAGGTGTCTTCATCTCGATCAATGAAACCATTCGGTTCCATTCTTGGTGGCATATTCGCGAATACATTAAGTTCAGCTTTTGTGAACGGAGTGCAAATCAATATCTTGTTGAAAACATCAACCCTCTTGAACAATGTTATCGAAAAAATGATTCTCTTGATGTTTGCAATGAATCGAGAACATGTCTATCGACTTCTCGTCTCAAAGATGGATTTCCATATTGTATAAATACAATGGATGAAACTGCTGATGTTGACGTCGAGAAGAGTTGCGGGCAAGTGAAATCTCATCGTTTTCGCTGTTCAATGAATCAATCAACATGTTTAAGTGTCATGGCATTAGGAAATGGACAGAATGATTGTAAAAATAAATTTGATGAAATATGGTTCGGCATAGGGCGAATGTTGTCCAGAATGAATTGTAATGAACGACGAACAGATGAATGTTCTCTTCTTCGTCGATACATCGAACAATCGTGGTCATCAGTGAACAAGAATGAGATCCGTTCCCAACTGGGAACTCCTTTTCACTGGTATTGTAATTCATTTTTGGATTCAGATTCAGGAGAAGATGAAAATATCGATCTATGTCGACAATGGTGGGTCTGTCTCGATGATCAAAAAAGATGTCGAACAGGACAGTGCATTGATCCATATTGGTTGCTCGACTCTGAATGGGATTGTGCGGATGGATCTGACGTAGAAGAATTATTTTATCAAAGAATCGAAACCTTGGAACAACTAAATCCAAGTTTTGCTTCTATCAATGAATCTCAATCTCGGTTTGGTATTTGTAATAGGACACATCCATTCGCTTGCCTTTCCCACGACACATCATTGAATCAATACAAATGTCTCGAGTTTACTCCACTTGGTGATAAGGAGATTGATTGTTTAGGAGCCATTGATGAACCTCACACGCTCCAACATTGTGATGGAACATCAATGCTCGGACTCAACTTCAAATGTTCATCGGATAATATGTGTATTCCATACTCAAGTCAATACTCAGGGCATTGTGAGTTGGGTCATCGATGTCCAAACAAAGCAGATGATGAGCAATGGTGTTTTGATCGAAACAATTCAACCAGTTGTGATGGATTCCATAATTTTGTTTGTTTTGATGGAAGTTGCGTTTCGGTGTATCGATGTGATGGAAAATGGCAGTGTCCATTTGGTGAAGATGAATATATGTGTGATTATAGAAATACCGTTTCATCGTTCTATTCTTATCGTCGACTAAAAGAATTAGCTGTTAAAGACCAAATTCATTCACTTCAATTGTTCCATTTTCCAAGTGATGCAAATATCACACAGACCAGTGAAAATTCGGCCATGACCACAGAACCTGTCGACATGTCTCTCTACAACACAACATCATCATTATTAATCTCAGCCTATCGATGTAATCGTGGCCTTGGAATTTTATCAACAAATCATTCGATCGTTTGTTTCTTCCCACCACAATATTATGGAAATTATTGTCAATATCACAGTGATCGATTTTTACTTCTACTTCATCTTAATCTTTCTCAATCAATTTATTCTGTTCAAAATCATACTGAGATTCTTCTCAAAGTTCTTCTTTTGTTCTTCTTTGAAAATCAAGTATTGATGACCAATCAATTTCAGGTTCAACCAGCATTAGAAATGAACAAGATCTACAAAAAAACTTTTCATTTTGTCTATTCTCATTCATTAAGATTTCGTCAAGAACGAATGAAACGATATTTCAATCGTTCAAATATTCTTCATTCTCATCCTTATTCGATTCGTATTGAAATGTATGAAACACAACGAGACAAACAAGTGTCGTTGATCGCAGGTTGGCAATATTCAATTGACTTCGATTATTTACCTGTTTTTCTTTTAGCCAAAGTTCTTCGATTAACCAAACCGAATCCTTGTTTGACTAATCCATGTAATAAAAATCAACAATGTCAACAATTAATCAATGACCAATCCAAATATCTTTGTCTTTGCAAAAGTAACTTTACTGGAGAAGGCTGTTCCATTGAAGATTCACGTTGTAAGAATGGTTTTTGTGCAGCACAAGCCTTGTGTAAACCAGATTATCAAAGTTTACTTCGAGGCAATCAGTCACCTTACTGTATTTGCCCATACAATCGATATGGTCCTCAATGTGACATCAACATTGATGATGTTTGCCAATCGCATTTATGTTTGAATGGTGGGACTTGTCTCTCCGGACTAACACCTGATCAAGTGATTTGTTTGTGTCAAAACGACTTCTTTGGGTCTCATTGCCAGTACAAAAAGGCCACTATTCGTTTATTTCTTCATGATCATCCTGTGGCATATTCGGCTGTAGTTCTACAATATTTTATTATCGATTACAGATCTCTCAGTCTCATTCCTGCTCATCAACAAGTCAACAGTACTCTTTCTTCATTCATTAGATATGGACATGAAGGAGAAGTACTTCCCGAAGTTGTTTTAGCTAAACTCTATTCTTCGTATCAAGAAACTCGACCGAATTTCTATTTACTTTCATTGCACATTAACATAGTATCAGTTGATGGGACAACATCGATGACAGAACAAAATCGATGTCCAAGTATTTCTCAACTATCAATGATAAATCTTTCTCCAATTTATTATCATCAGATATGCATCAAGAATGTGGATCTACTTTGTTTTCATGATGATTCATATTTCTGTATCTGCAACCCAAATCACACACGTGTCGAATGTTTTCTGTATGACAATAAACTCGATCGATGTTTATTTTGTCTTGCAGGTGGACTTTGTTTGAAAGGAAGTCATACTCGTTCAAATGACTTTGTTTGTTTATGTCCACCGTGTTTTTCAGGTCGTAATTGTCAATTCAATTCGAAATTATTAACTGTTACTCTTGATCAACTATTTTATCCTGATTTAACTTCCAGTCGCAAACAGACAACAATGAATTTGATCATTATTGGTTCTCTTCTGGGATTCTTCCTCGGTTTACCAAACAATCTTTTCTCATTTGCCACACTTCAACGACAATCATGTCGTCAAACAGGCATCGGTTACTATTTACTCTACATTAGTTTGATCAATCAAATCAATCTTGGATTTCTCAGTGCACGTCTCATTCATTTGTCTGTCATTATTTCTAATCCTCAATCTTTCTCTATGATCAATCATGTTCTTTGTAAATTCTTCAACTATTTTCTCGTTTGTCTCACTCGAATGGCTTATTGGTTTCCTTCATTTGTTGCCCTTGAACGTGCTTATACCGCAGTATTTTTAAATGGTCAATGGTTTAAAAAGCCGAAAATTGCTCGTCGTCTGATGGTGTTGACCTTGTTTGTCATTTTGTTTTCTACTTCTTACGAACTTGTATTCGTCAAATTGTTCACAAGTAGTATCGATAATGATAACAGTGCGATGTGCGTGATAGACTTTCCAATTTCTCATCAAGCTATGTGGATATTAATCCATCAGATAATCTCGATCATTCATATCATCTTGCCATTGCTAATCAATATTTGTTCAACAATGGCAATCATCTATATAGTTATCAAAAAAAAAATGAACATTCATAGAACTAATAAATGTAAGTTGTGTTCATATTGATCGTCATTTTCTTTTTGAATTTTCTTTTCATCTGTCTCAGATCGAACAACAAAACGTGCAACACAACCAACAATGGTTATCAACTCAGTAACAGGTAATTAATCGGAATACTGTGAACATGATTGGATCTCACAGCATTTTATAATTCTTTGAAAGGAAGAGACTCATAATGGAAGTAGAAAATCTAGGGATGCAACGGTGACGATCAGAACTCGCTTCACCGTCACCGTTTCATCGCTCTGGAACGGTGAACAATCATACCGATCAGACCGGTGAACCGGGGCTCGGTGGACCGATCAGACCGGTGAACAGGGGCTCGGTGGACCGATCAAACCGGTGAACCGGGGCCCGGTGGACCGATCAGACCGGTGAACCGATCAGACCGGTGAACCGGGGCCCGGGGGACCGATCAAACCGGTGAAACGGGGCCCGGTGAAACGGGGCCCGGTGGACCGGTCAAACCGGTGAACCGGGGCCCGGTGGAACGATCAAACCGGTGAACCAGGCCCCAATTTAAGTGCATATTGGGCGTACTCTTAGGTCCTCATATACTATATATTAGGGGTACCCTTGGGTAGGGGTGGGAAGTTCTCGTTCCATTCCCGGGTAACGGAAAATGCTCTCCTTCCTGTTTTTCTTATGAGAATGATTTTTGAAAAAAGTTTTTTTACAAAATTTTTTTTAATGCAGAAGTAGACTTTTTGAGAAAAAATAATATTTTTCGAAAACGCCGCAAAATTTTGTTGTAAAAAATTTTGTTTACCAAAAAAATTTGTTTACCAAAAAAATTTGTTTACCAAA